ATCACTATATATTTCTATATGATATGGGAAATTGGGCTCTGTGAAAATTTGGGGATAGGGATATATCGATTGGGATATAAGTGAGGGAAATTTATACTGACATACAATAGAGGAAATCGGTCCAGCCCCAAAGCTGGGATATATCCGAGGGTGGGTTACAATAGGGGGGGGTATAAACGAGGGATGACTGTATACTTAATGGTATATTACTGCTGTTTTATAACAAATAAATATTAATAAATAAGCCATTGGATGTCAGTAGTCCATATTAAAATTCTTTATTTTGTTGTTTATAATACCGATACGATTTCTATGTTAGCAAATTAGATATAGCGACAGATCAAGATATTTCCATATAAGGACATCAATAATTCAGAATAGGCGCATTTATATAATAATAAAGTAAATTCCAAAAACTAAGCGCGATTGTATTTACGGATTATTATATAACTGAATAAACGCATATTAATTATTACATAAAATAAATTTTCAAAAACTAAAACGCGATTGTATTCATGAAATTATTATATAAAGAGACATTAGTTACCCTACAATCGTCATAAAGAACGCAATTACTTAGTATACTACAATTACTCTCACATTACCATCACGAAATACCAGTTAAATTTTTTGACTTGTTCGATGTCTGGCCAATTCCCTCGTGACAGTCCAATGATCGGTGTAACCTGTCGATTGAACTACGAACAACAAGTCATTGGATTCATTTATAATGGAATCACGGAAGAATACAAAGAACGTATATGATGCATATATACAATGGATTGAATACTCTCTATATTGACAAACGTACAAGAGATGACATCATTACGCCATGGATGCACACATATAGCAGAATGGTTAGAACCGATACCAAATAAAACCGTGCACGTTTACTGTTAGCTGCCTTTGCCGGACTATTTGAAATATAGAGTACACTATTACCGCTGGTAATGAGTTTGATGCTAATCAGTAGATGAGTATCGGGAAACTTAATTGGTTACTACTTTTTTTTTCTGTATTCTATTTCGGGAAACGCCAAATACTTCCCCTAAATTGTGGGGCGGAATGTTGGTGCTCATTCTTACCGCAACATCACTGAAACCATTAATAAGAGGTTAAGATTGGGCCGTCTTCTATTAAACTGATTCGAATCTAGTTTAATTTTGCTAGTGAGAAATAAAGAAGAGCGGATCAATTAAATCGTTTGATGACAATTATTGGAAACGCCCTTTTTGTCATACATGTCTCCTAATGCGATTCTCTATTTTATTTGCCAGAGGATAGGGGCAAATCTTTTTATAGTTACCGACAACAGATCCATCTTTTTTATAAATAAAATTTTAGCAAATCGATTAATGTTCTCGTTCAGCAGTATCGTAGTATTTTCGTGTGACTGTTTAGTTACGTAATGACCAAATTCAATCTAATCCGTGGATAAATTATCTGTAAGCATTTATTATTGTAGCAATAATTGAACTCTATTAAAAAGCATGCAATACTGTTTTATATAGAGTATGCTGGTATTATTATTGCAGATCTACGTCAGGAGTGAGGGGTCGTGTAACATAAATAGAATAGCAATCAACATGGGATTGTGCATCTATTACCATTAAGGTTTGCAATACTATAATGGTTTTTCTACCAATTAATTTTGTCTGGAAAGTATTTGCGGATTAGAGTTTGATAGTACGGCTTCAACTTTGTGATGTCTGGTGGCGCATCGCTCTTCGAATACAAATCGTAAGAATTAAAGGTTTTCACCAATTTCATCATTTCATGATCTCGCTCGTTCATCAGGTGTGTGTATGCGTTCTCGCGGTGCTGTCCATAGAAACTATGGTAGCGAATTATGTATAATGCTTCTTGTGGCAAATATTTCTATATGCACAAAGCACGAGATGAAAGCATCGTTTCAGCAAATAGATTTTTAGACGATGAAAATCAACCATTCATAAACAACATGCTCAAATACCTCGGCTACCATGTACATGTATTCGTCATGTCCAAATGACATGAGAACATTATCCAATCCGCAGTTTGCTTTATAGATTCCGTAGAGTGAGTTATATGCGGGGTTGTAATAATCAGGATTCGATTTGAAAAACTCTGGATAAACAATTTTCTCCGAAAACCGACATCCAACTGGAAATGTATCTGTTTGTTGTTTGCATTATTACGTTTGGCATTTTTTAACATAAGAGTTACACGATTCTGTCATGTGAAAAACACTCAGGAGCCTTACTTACCCCCAACAACATCCCATTGTCCTTCTGCACCAAAATAATACAATAATTTCCCTAGATCATGAATGAGCCCTACGAACCACATGCAGAAAGGAAAGCTTGAATTTAGAGACCTGTTGATGTAGGTTATTTAAATAATAATCATCCCAGTTGTTTTGTCCTGGTCCCATACTAACTTTAACCCCGTTCGTATTCTACACTACATGCAACCGATTCTCCGTCTCGTTTCTATTCCGGTGCTCTCCAACAATCATTACCAGTCAATATCATCCAATCATCAAATCTTTCCTTTTTAGCATTTCTTTTTAATGCCTCGGCTGTCTGCAGACAATGTTCAATTTGCGACAACTCGGTATCGTTGTCGGATTCGTCCTTAAGCTCATTCAACATCTCTAATGCTTCCCATATTCCCATATGGGCTTTGTCTAGTTGGCTAAACTTTTGCCGACTTCTAATAACAAAATCTAGAGTTTGTTTCTGATGTTGTTCTTTATATAGTTTAACTACACTCGGCTTAGCAATGTCATATGTTCTGAATGATTCAACAGGGTTGACGGGTTTATATTTACGTTGTAGAAAGTGCTCCCAGTCATCACACACTTGGGAAAACGATCCAGCAAGCATTTTGAATATACGATTCAACGTTGATGCGCTACGTTTTTATACATGACCTGAGTGAGAACTGTGTTTCGGTATATTTAGTTTGGTGACAGTGTCCACTCCTTACACAAATGCAAGTGTTACGGCTTTTGGCGTCGTTAGCTAATTCCCACGGCTATATGTAAATTCCCAGGAACACAAATTAAAAAGTCGACAAAGCATGTTTAGGTGTGATTGTTAAAAGTTAGTGGTTCAAGATTATATAAACAGAATCTGTTTGTTTTATTTAATTTGAAAATCCGTCAGATTCGATAGAAGCTTGAATTTCCTGCTCAAGAGATTTAAATTCGTTGCAATTTGTTGTTTCGTAGACACATCTTAATTTGAATACGTAATGGATGATTGCATGAAGACATTGTCTCCTTTGTGCATCAATTATGTTCTGACCCGTAGCGAAATTCAGCCCGATTCGGGCCGGCCCAGTTTACATTTTATTCGCTATCATGACATAAACAGTGCTGATTAAATGTCGCTATTGGTTGTGATATTAGACAATTTGCCTGCGAATCGGGCTGGATTTCGCTACGTGGCAGAACAATTACAATAATATTATTGCGCCTGTTGCAATAGTTGTTGTAGTACAAGAAATCCCAATGTGTCTAAATTGTCCTTACGCGATTTGGGCCACAGTGTAGCATTTATCTAAACTGTAAAAAGAAAGAAAGCATGATGAAGGCGTTCAAGGCAGGGCTAGTCTAACTGTTCTGAAAGAGCTAGAGGGCAAATGAAAGGGATGCATTCCATACCATCCTTTCTTTAGCCTAATTTACACTATTCAACTACGCTACTAAATTATAAGTCTTGATTTTTGTGATAAATTTGTTTCAGCTTGTTATATTTAAAGATTAGGGCTATTTTGAAATTAGTTCGCCCCGAACCGTATCACCAACGCATAAAATAGATGTCGATTAGCTCAAACCAAGGAAACAGGTCGGGCAAAGCCGACGGTTACATTACTGAAAAGGCTGTAAAAAAAAACAAACAAAAGCAAAGCCATGATTCCTCAAAGAGTTTAGTGAATGAGCGAATTTTTCTAAATTGAGTAAGATATATTCTTAAGACACGACTTGGTTGTAAAAATAACTGAAAGATCACACACCATTTACCAGTCAGATAATAACTACCACGATATTACATAGCCGTGAACAAACAAATGGATGCCATCAATTAACGGCTCAAATTTAAATCGTGTAAACAAATAAACAAGATCCAAGTTAGAACGAGATCATTACCACAAACAGGCAGAAAGAACAACTATTTTATGGGACTAGACAAATAAGATTATAATTTAATCCCCCAAATTACATCTTATTTGATATTCGAATGAAACAGTGGGTTTAATAATTAAGACTAAGTTTGGGAAGAAGTCGAATAACTACACTGTTAATACTGTACAATGACTTGATATCGAAAGACTTGCGATAATGCCAGTGATACCAATTTTTGGTTCTACCCCTGCATTCGGCCATCTGCACTGTATTATTGAACACGATTTTATTGCGACGTCAACAATGTATGTTGGTCGCATGTTGTGAATTCTTACGAATAACATTTGACAAACTTTAATCAACTACTTATCATTTAGATGCCAAGTCGAAGAACCAGTAGTATCTTTCACAATTAATGTAATCTAATATCTATTCAGCCCATCGCATCATTGCTTCCGTTTCGTAGTGAAACTTTAACCTATCAACGATGGTTTGCAATGACTCTCCATTCATAATGTTTTCCAATTCATAGAGAGTAAGATTGATTCTATGATCTGTCACTCGATTCTATAGTAATGATGCGGAGTAAGAACTTGTTCAAACAATAACGTTCGAGACACATTACATAAATATATACCTGTGGAAAATTATACGTCCTAATTTTTTCTGATCTATCGCCGCTTCCAACCTAACAGTCAAGATGATAAATATTCTCGCTACACTTTTGATACTAGTATCAGGCATACCAGTCTTACCTGCATTCGCCTAGAGTCACGTCTCTCACTCTCAATACGTGCGCGGCTAACTTCGTACAATTTCGCCCTCATAATTTTAAAGGCTTTAGCTTTATTCTATATCAAAACAGACATGCCCGAAGAAATAACAAACAAAAGACTATTTAATACCAGACTCCCATTGTACGAATGACGCTCATCAATAACAAGTCATTGAATGAAATCGTTACTAGTCAGATCTTGTTACGACAGACCTTGTGTTGTGATCTTTCGTCTTGTATTGAGACGACAATGCCCGTGGAAACGTGCGTCAATCGGACTGCACTATCCGTTGTGTTCACGTGTTGCCCCCCTTTACCACTTGAACGGTAGTAGTCGATTCGAAAGTCCGATTCTTTTAAAACGAGTTCAACCTAGAGTGTCAATATAGCGGTTTGTTTGGCATATGAGAAACAGATAATTTTCGAAATGATAATAGCGAGACTAGGACAAATCGAGTTGATTTTCACCTCGGTTGGCTGGGGTAGTATGGCAACGGTAACTGTGCTGGTATGGACGCGTCCCTGACCTTCTGTCGCGGGTACTCGTTGAACTCTATGAACTCCAGCTTCATATTTCATATTCCCAAATACACCACCGCCTGATATTGATGCCGTTGCTTCCTTGATAAACACGCAAAAACATTGTTAATTTTAAGAGAATCGTTTACATATGAAGAAGCGTGATCGCCTTCCATTATCCCTAAACTTCTCCTACAATCATGTTAGAAATGAGTAACATTCAATCAGATATATACATAATATGGCACTTTTGCTTCCCTATCAACAATGATAGAACATAGGTGCCAACAGTACGTTATCTTCTAGTCCTTGAGTGCCTGATTTAACGCTTCATATATCTGTGTACATTTGGATAATACTCTGCATTCTCTACAATGATTACACCTGTGAGCATTGACTTTACCAATAAATTCCATTTTGAAAAGAGAATTTTATACAGAAATGATATCCAATTGAATGTTACTCAACAATGTTCTAAAATTGGAGAAATTTCGAGATAATTACATAGGTCAAGCTTAAAAGTTTGAACTATAAGCAAATCAATCAATGCATTTTTTTTTACCCTATCACACCTACCTTGATGACACCAAGAATATCCCCAGAGATGTTTAGTGATTCGAATTTCCAATTTCGCACATTTGAATATCGCTCATACATTCGAAACATCTCTCCAGCAAAAAGGCCTGCTTCATCGCCTCCAGTACCTAGGGTAAGATGAATAAGCACACGGTAAATGGCAAATATTCAGAAACGAAAAGATTTACCACCCATCGTAAATACATTCGCACTCTGATTATATATTTTATTTCTACATCTCCATCTTAGAGCGCATGCCATTGTTGCATATATAATATATATAATCATACCCACACAATAGAAAATACAAACAGAATGCAAGCGTAGATTACCTGCCCTAATTTCTAAAATTGCATTTCCAGAATCGGCAATGTCTTTTGGAACTAATGATTGAACAAGTGTTTTTTCCATGTCATCGACTATCCGTGAAATCCGTGTACGTTCTTCCTTTGCAAGCTCTTTCAAATCTTGATCTTCACGAGCATCATTCATCATTAGGTCTACTTCTTCCAATTCCTGATAAAACCGAGGATGATAACGTAAGTAAAATTGTTGCAGTAAAAATAACAGCAAAGCATATGGGAAATATTTGCTTGGATCATCTGATGCATATATACGTTTGTAATTGTGTTTTCGTTATAAATGTACCTTCTCTGCTTTTTTTAGTTCTTCATACGGTAAAACGACATTCTCCAATTCTGTCAATTCCTTTGATACTTTGGCATACTCGGTTAAATCTGGTGGAATCTGAATAAATGTAAATATCAACCGAATTCTAATTAAGAACGATCTCGACTATTTTTTAACCATCTCTCGTCATCTACAAACCTCATTCCGTTTTTTCGACAATTGTTTATACCTTTCGATCAATTTATCCAATTTCAGACGGATAGTCGGGATATTGACTACGCCTATACCGCTCGAGTCATCATGTCTTGCTAAAAACTTATTATTAGCCTTATTGGAGAATAGGGGGGAAAAAAGTTCAACGGGAGTGAATTTGCGTAAATGATACCAGAGTCCAGATAGAGTTTTCTTCTTACCTGTGAGATACGAACGGTAATAAATGCTGGTTGGATAGAGGGGAGATTTTGTCAATATAGGAGGCAAAGAGTAATTAGTGGGAGACTGGGCTAAAAGATGACGAAAAAGTGCTGATGAACGGAACATTGTCGACAATTTTTTCGGATAATCAAGTAGATCATATTTGTGACGCAATAATCAGTAACGATAATGCATTATAATTGGGATTAGGTTAGCATGCTTTCCAAATTCCTTTTGCGCGTGAATTGACTTGTTTAATTCCAGTTTTAGTATCTAGCGGATTGTACTCGCGTCTAAGAGACTCAATATGCGCCTCACTTTTAGCGTTTGGAGATACGAATTTACAATATCTAGTCGCCAATTATACAAATATGATCTTTTTTGACGTGGCGACATTTTTATTACATACACTGTTACAACAAATTGAACAACTTCGAAGTGATGCTCTAGATAAAATAATTTTTTCCCGCTTCCATTTACTATTATATTATGTAAGGCGAGTAATTAATTGCTTCTTTTTTTGCATATTGGGAGCAATCTCTCGCGCTAATACAATAAACTGTTTTAGACAAAGTACTGCATCATTCATAATACGATGAAACATGTATAATGTAATCGTGTCATGAGAGAAGGGTAACTCATGAAAGTCGTAGAAATGCGGTCCAAGACGCGATTAAATAATGGTCACATTTTGTCAGAAAAGCCTGAAAATGTACGTGGCAAAGTTCTAAACTATGTGCGTTAAAGTTAAAGCCTTTACTCCTCAATGTTCAATTGATAAGATGTCGGATTGCAGTTTAAACACATTACCATCCCACTTATGCTGCTCACCAACCAAATTCACCAATTACCGCGCCACATTTTAAATATGTTTAAACCACAAGTATTCATTCAGAGTTAATAATGCTGTTCTAGCTATCCAAATATACATTGAGAGGACATTTTTGTGTATTGTAGCGATAATGCTTTCACACCTCGCCAAACAACTACATACGTCAAAGCGTACCCCCCCCACCCTTTGTCGGTCACAATTTCTATATTAGATATCCATCCACGTATGCGACCAATAACTTGAGCAAATAACTTACAGTAACCACAAACCCAACACAAAACCAAATTTATCATTTCATATACAATATAAAGCATGCAAACAATCGCATGCAAGAAATCCACACCATATATGTAAATAAACATAATAGTCTTTTGTCTACTATTCAAGTAGAAATATAAAATGTATGTATATATATAAACGTATTGTCCACTTCTAAGATGAATAGAGTGCAAATTGGGGGACCATTCACCTAAATGAGCCAGCATCAAATGATCTTGGCCCAGTTGCCCCAATAAGCCCAAGATATTGAAGGTCAATATTGTTTGCATCACCATCTGCCCTGAGGAGTTTTACAAGGACGAATTTCCCTGATCTACACAAGATAATAATACGATGACATTATGGTTATACGATCGCAATAAATATTGTTAAACAGCTTATTAAATTTTACATTTATATCATAATTAGAATTCAATACATACCTATTGGGTGTTATCGCCTGCTCAAACAACGATGTCGATGAATCTATACAAAAATATGCAGCGGGCCATGAATCATCAATATAACCATCACCACTTGCAAGTAATTCCTTGTATTTTGCTTCAGTGAAATCATCATAACGTTCCGTTGCTGTGAATAAGACAAAGTCGATTGGACGAGATTAATTATTGTTCGCGAAAGACTATATTTGATTGAATACATAATGCTATGCTAACCTTCAACTGATATCGGTTCATGTGATACAAAAATTAAGCCTTCTTTACCTATATAAAGTGTATGAACAATTTATTAATACCATGTTATGTGATATCTATATGCTAGAGTTGGGTTATATTGACTACTGTAAGTATACATACATGGTGCGGTATAACCTTGTTGTGGCGCTTTTACAATGATCTTTGTGAGAATAAAGGTCGCATCAGAAACGCCTCTGTGTCTGTCGTTAAATTTCAACCTAATATTGATGTTGGTGCTCTTTGACGAACTAAATAAGGTGATACAATTTTGGTATCATTAAAGATTGATAAATACTGACAACACACACGCGCGTATATATAATTCATACATGCTTACCAGTACACAGAGCTATCTTGCCTTAGTATGTTCTCCACATTATATCTTGAACTATAATGCAGGATAAAAAAGATCGGTTAAATATAAAACCATTAAGTAAAGCATTTTGGATTACTATGTAACACCATGACTATATACAGGGTGATTAAATGCTTTCCGTTGTTTGAACATAGTATCTGCCTATGAAGAGGCTCGGTTCAAACGATTTCATATATTCACTAATTAGTCATCCCGATCCAATACGCATATTGTAATATATATATAACCTTGTTTATGCTTGTAACCACCCTTTAATCCTCTAAATCTTTTTACATTACCTGAAACATCCACCATCACAATCTAGCACGTCAAATGTCAAAGGGAATTCACCTGATGTACCCATAAGAGATCTGAGTTTCCTCCTTGCTCCTCTGTGATCACGTATGGAATTTCGTCTATGTAGACTGGTAGACCCACTTCTACTACTCATTCTATTGACACTACCTGAGTGCTGTAACAATCGATTGTTCAATATATTATCGATATTATCGTAGCGAGTGGACGGATTGCTGTTTAGAGATTGGAGGAAAGTTGCGAAACCAGTAGACTGGGATAGTTGTTGAAGTAAGGTAGTAGAGGAGGAGAGAGAAGATGAGCGTACCGAGGAGGACTGAACAGCGGGGTTTGGGTTAGCTGTGATGCGCATATTGAGAATAACTGTTCTAGTATGATGAATTATTGTGTTGAAATGTGAATGTAGAGAGTGTGTCTAACGTGGAGTGCGAGCAGAATTATCGACATCATGCATTGTGTTTCACTCTTAATAATGACGTCAGAGAACCATAGATTGATGAGATAACGGAGACTGATAAAATATCCATTGTTAAATGCTGAACAGTAACTAAATGCTAATAATAGCAAAGTCAGCGCCAAGTATAGGCAGCCATGCCAAGTTCACTGTTACAGACGCATACAATTTTTTTCGAGGACAACACTACAATGTTCTTTATTTTGACTGTTAGATACTCCGATTGGACAAAACACCGATCAGATTAAAGTTAATCATCGCTGTGTGTGGCATTGTTACGATGTTACCAGCTTGGAGGGTTTCACAAACATAAAATTGTTGCAGCAATCATTATCATTGACAATTTGTTAAATACCTGAATATCCGCCCCGAAATTAAGTCGAGAAATAGTCAAGCACGTCTCGGGAATGGTATAGAGGGTTAGCATTTTATTGGTTGCACGTGATTATTAACAGATGTTATTGCTATGTCGTTTCTTTAGAATCAATCTTCTTGCTGTTGTAGAAAAAGAACAAATATGCTTGCATATAATTAGTAATCCAATACTATCATCAACTCTTCGCTATCGTTAAGTGTACATCTGATGGTCAACAAGTTGTTCAATGATGACAAAGATGAAATGCTAGAATTTTTGGTTTTTTTTATGCTTCTTTGTCACGAACAAAGCATATTAATATATAATAATAATAAGATCTACATCATTTTTATTGACATGTAACATCTATTATTGTAAAGGGACCACCATGGTCTGTTGCACAAACACGGGGCTATATGTATTATAATAATAAATCTCGCTTCTTCGTTTATCAGGAGAATTATGTACTCGTGTATTTTGGCTCAAACTTTCATCTGCGCGCATTCTATGCATAATTGCAATTCGACACTTATAAGCAGAACCATGGAATTACTGTCAGATAATGAAGTCTTGCAGCGTGAGAACAATTGTCGCGTGCACAATTTATTATTATAAAAATATATGGTGAGTTATCCGAAAGACGCGCTTAGGGGAGTCTTGCACTTAGAAGAGTTTGGATTTTGAAGGATATGGCTGCCGATCACGCGCAGAGGAGTTGTAAAGGCTGCTGTTGTAGCCTTTGGCACCGTAACTTTATTGCCAGGTTACATGAATGTCTTTATGTTTTGACAATAAACGTTAAGAGAACACAAACCGACAATGATTCTTGTTCGTGAAATGATTCTTTCCTCAAGTGAAACAGCAAATACATATTCATATTAAATTCTAACCCCTTCACAATATACAACGAAAAGAATATTTGAATATCAATTAAGCCATTAACTCTCGGTTTTGCATTAATTACTAATTAACTGAATCAGTTGCGATTTTAATAATTACATGTAGTTTCTTTATGGCATTAGTAATGCCAGCATTTCTTGGGCTGCTTTGTCAGCTTGGAAAAATCTTTAACGAATTGCTCGCATCAGATTGTTGCCAGTTATCACGCCAGCGCGCGATTATTCTAATTGCTAGTAATTCAAAGATTATAAACAACTCTTTGTGCATTCATTTGCCTCTATCTATAATCTTGTGATGATTGTTCATCGGATCCCGTAGTTGTGAACCGATCCTCGTCTTGTGACTAATAGCAAAAGTAATGAATTAGAACGTAATGTCCTGTTAACAAAGTCCAACTCATATCTATCTTACCATCTTTGGTGAAGGTACTTCTCCATTTACGTAATCTTCATTAGCCTCCTTCTCCTCAATAACATCCATGGTTTCTTGTCTTTCTCTCACAGGAACGCTGTATCGGAATTCTCTGTGTCTTATATAATGGACTACAAAGTAAACCTTCCCTAATAAATTAATTATGAGCACGACACAGCTTGTTATCAAAGTGAGAAACGGGACTATATCGTATGATACTGTCCTAGTTTTGTAAAGGATCTGCGTAGACGAAAAGTATAGGCATTAATGAAAAAAAAGTCGATCGATAGCATTCTGTACCAGATCCAAATGGTAATCCAATCAAAACTTAGGCTAGCTTACCTGAATGATCACTTGGGGAATGTCTTCTATTAACACGTTTACCGTGCTTACCCAAAATATCCACCGCAGTGCTCGACGGGAGAATGGGGCGCTAAAAAGGTTGAGGCCTGCTAGTCCAGATGCAAGCACGTTCAACATTTCAATGTCTGCGCCTGCCAATACAGTAAATATTGGTGCTAGTTTCACATTTCTATTTGACCATGCCAGGAAGCTTTTACTATGATCATGCTCATAATTGAAAATGAGGAACGCCGCTATAGCATTTAAACCGATTGGAACGACAAGGAATATAATACTAACAGTTTAAAGAACACACAGATAATGAATATCAATAATTGTAAAATGTCCTGGATTAAATCATTCATTTTTCGTTCGTACCTTGGGACATATAAGCTGTGTATATCGCGGCCGTGATCAGCTAAGAACAAGACATCTAACGTGAAATCAAGGATTATCAACGCAATTTGTATTATTGCCCAATTATGACCCTAGGTAATAAGCATATGTGTTAGTCAGTGTTATTCTTTTATTATCAAAATCTCATTATTTTGGAATGTGATTATATAACAATGTCTATAGCATAGCTTCTCTCACTCACCTCGTTATTTCTGATTCTCGCTAATATGAAAAGCACCAATACAACCAGGAGAGCAAGAAATAAGATCAATAGCTTTGTCTTATATTTATCCCACAAGTTTTCTAAAAATAAAAGGAATTATTAGTTTTTGCGAAATACATATTGGGAGGCATCATAGTACACTTCACCGACAGTCATTTCATGTGACACATTGTTTATCGCACTTATCATTGGTTTTCGATGAAATTTATGTCGGTGAAATGATTGTCGATGAAATGAACCATTATAGAATACTCACGAGTTGGCTGAAATCCATATGTCTCATCCAAAATCTTTGTGCTGTTGTTCATTCCAATTGGTGTTATCGACTTGGCTTTTATCAAGGTATCAAAATCGTTGGTTAGATCACTGGCACTTCTCTGATTTTGGTCTGTATCTTTCTTAATTGTGTATGATATCAGTACCAAATCATCGGGGCCAACAGTCATGGTCTGAAAAAGTTTGCTTGTTTTCAATCGGTTTGGTTCGACTGGGATAATGTTGACCAGCGCGTTAGTTAGATCGTCAAAGAATGCGGATTTCTGGTCGCTGCTAAGACTGTTAAAATTCTGTGATCCCTCGGGGTTCAGTCTGAGCAATCCTGTGACCGAATCTGAAAATGTGTTCGAACTTATAGCTAAAGTACGAAAGCAGATTTAAAATGATAAAACAAAGGATTAGGAGACAGTTTAAAGAAAGCGGCGCGTCAATGGAATTATGTATTAATACTCACACGCTTGGAATTGCCACTTCCTATTCAATATTCCGGGAACGGCTTCGCCAACATCGCTCTGTTTGACATAATCAGGATCGATTGCAACGTAATACTGGACGCCTGGGGTATTAAATGTACTGCTAAGCGGAATGAACTCAATAGTGTCATTTTGGATGTTAATATCACAGGCCAAGTCACGCGCTGAACAGCGCTGTCTTAAGTAATCACTATTAGCGTCGTCGCTGTTTGGGTTGATCTGATAGACACTCAATGACTGGGTGGACAAAATTATTGGAACGTTGTAACTAATGCTAACTTTGTCATTTGATGAAATGCTCCCATTAATAGAAGGCGAGATGGCTCTGATGTTGGGGTTATTCAGACCGACATCTAAATAGCATATAGATACAAGTGAGTATAGCATATAGACACGTGTATACCGATTGAAGTATTCGATCATCTTACCATTGTTCCACAGTTTAGGTATATCGAATGCCGTCAATCTGAATGTAGTTGCTGTGGGTCGTGAGACAAAGCCCCAAGAATTATTAGGAAAGAATACATTGTTTGCAAAGGGACTAATGACATTTAGTACTAAAGGTTGAGGAATGTTCAATGGCTTATCAGATAGTGCTCCATTGTCATCTAATAGTTGAGTAGTTATTATGAATTGCGTCTGCTTGGCGTTCTGTGGGCTAGACACTAGCATATATCCTCCAAATGGCATGGATCTAATGTTCGCACTATTAGCACCGGCCGCTTTGGGAGGTATTGGTAGCGTTCGTGTCTCAGTGACAGATCCAGATGACAAGAAACGAATAGCTTGATAATAAATTAACGAATTTGCGGGATTTGCGGCTGGAATTTCGACCGTTGCGATACATAAATACCCAACACCAAGAGCGGAATTACTGCAATCCATAGGATCAACCTGCGCATTTGGAACCGAAGTCTGATATATAAAAAAAGGGCCAATCGTGTCATTGGTCAATGGACGGAAGAATGTGACTTCACAACGAGTTCGAACGTCTACTGGAGCAATGGCCGGCACAGGGGGCGGCTTTTTTCCTTTAGGGGGTTTTTTGGCTGGAGGTGTATCATCTACGACTGTATATGCACCAATCAACGCATAACCACCATCACGCGTTGCAAACGTAGTGGACCATAGCTGTGCGAGCGTCGGCTCTTGGATGACGTCGCGTTGGTCTATGAACGTAATTTTGCCCTCAGCATTACTAGGTGTGTAGATAAACGAAAAGATAAGTTGAATGGCGCTTTTTATAAAAAAAGTGTAACAAAGACACTTACGGGGTTGTAAATCTTTGCCATGTGTAGTAGGTTGAAAGACCAAGCCCAGCTACTTCTTGCACAAACAAGAACTCATCGATGTTGCCTATGTTCCGTGTTAAACTACCTGCTCTTGCTGTGCCGGTGCCGGTGCTGTCCACGTAATGGAAAGCAGTGCCGAAATTGATAGGATCACTGGTTGATATTTATAGATTAGCGATTTCTTGGGGGAGGGGGCTATTTGCAGGTAAATGTGGGTCTGCGTAAACTCACCCTATTATATCTCCATTAAAAGAGACGAGTATTCCTTTGTCGACGTATGTCGAAGCATCTGTGAAAGTTGTAGCATCTACATACGTTATGAGGAGATAATTATGTGGCATAGGATATATTCTTATTCCATCGGGTTCATTCACCACGTCTAAGTAGTCTTGACAACGACTGGCTTGTGGGAACGTAAAGTTTAACAGTAGATTAGCGACTGTTCCATCCGGTCTGATAATACGATACTGCATTTCAGGGAGATTACAGAATATTTTAGGATCTGGATCTGGTTTGCCGAAACGCAGGATAAGTGTCCCATCTGAAACTTCAACTTTCTCTAATATATTTATGGTGGCATCAAATCCAGGTTCATTGAAGGTTAAATCGGTGGAATGTACACAAGTGAGGCAGAAGAGGAAGATGAGAGCTAAAAGAAGAGGGACGGAATATCTGTTCGCCATAGAGTGGACGATTGGTGAGTGATCGTGGGTATTACGATCAGACGCTCACATCTAAGAGAGTATGCGATCATTTATATAGGTCGAGGATATATATAATCTGTGGGAACATGCTGTACAGTTTGCATAGGATTAATATGGTTACTGTTCACATACCATAATTAAACCATATCCATTGTTTTTTGCTATAATGAATCTTTTACTATAAATCGATCGTATATTGTATATCGATATATCTCGACAGGGAAATTTATGTAAGAGATTGTCTTTCCAAATCAAGCCATAATTGGTTAAGTTTTTTTCTATTCGTGTCTGGCTGCTATTTTTATTTATATCTACAATTTTATTATGTCCCTGACATTTATCCCGTGTTAATCATTCCACTATTGGAATCTGGATCTTTATTTATATACGGGTCTTGTCGGAAAGACCGACCTTTTAATACATAGCAGATAAATAGACGTTTCTGATTACACAACCACTGAGACTATTTCCACTTTTGTAGGTAACACCGCAGACTGTCTTTATGACGGAGACGGCGTACGAGAACAGCGTTGAATATTCCGTGTTAAAATAATTGTGGTTGATTACCAATCGTTCAACAGAAAGCCTGTTCGTAAGCTTATGTATATTTGCCACCATGGCGACTATTGTGAGTAAAGATGTAAGACGTCTTTAATAATGTAAGTTTGAGACCATAGAGGCGATGGCTGCGTTAATAACCCCCTATGCCGATGCTGTGACAAAATGCTTTATGCAGGTACTCATGATTCATTCCTTGAAAAATTCTCAGATTCTTATCTATGGTGGTTTGATTGGTTCCGGTCGGCTTGCTCATATTCGCTCTAGTATTAAGAATCTTGCAAATATTAAGATTACTTGTGGAAATAGCTTTACGAAATCACAAGCGAGAGAACAATCTTTTGATCTTTTGCAATGTTTTCAAAGAGTATTGGCTGGTCTACAAAACTTTCTTTAAATGACTAAGCAGTACAACGAACGAAAAGTTGGTGCATATTACGATATAGAATCTTATTGCTATGAGGGTCATTGACTTCCGGAGATGCAGAACCGAGAACAGCTTAATTTGATGAAACAATGCCAATATAGCTATCTCCAAGTTTGACAAGTACTGAAAGAACCACTTTTTCTAGAAATAAAAGTGATTCACATTGCATGTAATTGAGAACGCCAAGTTATCCTTAACTGTCAAGAAGCAGCTTCCTCAACAAAGGTCTGTATAAATTATACTGTTGCTGTAAACTAATACAACAATTACATTTTAAGTTGAGACTTCTTAAAGTTGCACGGGCTTGTGCGAATTTGGTTCGCATGGCCGAAAGTGGGAAAGCATTTCCTGATACGACCTGCAGCTTGGTCAAAGACATTAGAATGAATCAGGCAACCGTAATAGTAAGGACTAACATGCTTAATTTGATGCCAAATCCTTCTGCATGCTAATGCAAGTGCCACTGCAATTGGGAACTGATTACTCAGCTCAATTGCGGTAAGAGCCATCTATATACGAGAACGCTAGTCGTATTTATCAAATGGATTATAAAAAACCTGTTCACTATACGACGATAGCCTGCATTGCGTTATTTGATTGTATTCATGAGCTACATGACCATAAAATATCGATGAACACGTGTTTATAAACATGTACACACATTTGCTTCGGCGAAACATATTTATCATGTAATTACCCACATCTCACTTGAGCTTATTTCTAGCGTCCGCTGAGGAAGACTAGTTAACCATGAGCAAAAAGAATTCGATTGCTTTAAGACATGTTTGGATCCATACATAGTTATCTTCGAGAGTTGAGCCTCACTAAATGAACTCGAATTTTAAATGCTTTTGCGATTCGCTATTACTATTATTTCCTTATTCATCCGGAATTACACTAAAAAATTCTCAGGACATCGTATACACGTGAGCAACCAAACAATCATTAATTCTTACCTGTGTATATTTACTTGGCAAAATGACGAATGCCTACATTAGCTCCGGCTTCATTCGTCCTAACCATATATTCTGGATGTGTTGTCAGGGTCGGAGTTAACCTTAACAAACTCTATGTTGCTAACAAGGAACAACCGATTCTAATTTCCCTTTCATACTGTAGTACGAATAAGGGTGGCTTATATGCAAAATTGTAATCATGTGAGACCCCGTTAAATATTAGTTGTTACACGGATTAGTTCTGCTTGCTTTATTGTTTTTATTTTTATTATTTATTATTTAATTAATATTAACTAAACGCTCGTTGTATAACACAAGCTACTCGTGAGGAGATCTTTTTCAATAGGAAACGAGAACTGGCGATTTAAAAATGCAGAGCTTCATGTCGTTCTAGGTACTCCTAGCACTAGTACTGGGGAAACCGCATTGTGGTAACGAGTTGTGAGGATTAATTAATATTCCTCGTAATTCCGAAGGCGTCACAGATCGGCAGATCGGCACGTAGCACTAAGAAGGATCTGCGATGCGGGCGTCGCGACAGTGGTACAGGCAACATCAGGAGACATCCCTAATAGATAGATAATTAATAACGTTGCTAAAAATATATCAATTAGTCCTTTTTTTGAAAGATATAAAAACAGCGTGGATTTCAGTGTCCATTAGTCCGTCCATTGTAAATATTTCTAATAAATGAGTAGTCCTTTATACTTGTTAATAATTCAATCCCTGGTAAATTACCGATAGCATAAATTCTCTATATCGAAGGATAATTGTCTCTTGTCCCACACTTATTATTTTAGTTTTGAGACCTCACACGGACAGACTACTGAATTAATCCCACAGTAGATAGTCGTGCATTTGACTACGTTATCGTACACTTAACGACGCTGAGGTTTTCGTAAATGAAAGCCTTGAGATTACAAGGTCACTAACTGTAAAGTAGATTTAACTATTGATAGGAGAAGCCACGCTCCGCCGACGATAGCTAAATCCCAAGTGTCGATCACTAATCACTCTCCCGCAATAGTCGGCACGACAGAGTAAAGGCGATTTCGATCCTCTTTTTATCAACTGCCATGAAGAAAACACCAAAAAGGATATACATAGTCAAACTCGATAAGATAAAGTCGACGGGCTGGTGGTAATGGTTAAGCTACAGAGGTTTTATTTTATATGGCGTCAATACAAATTGCTACTATTGGGACTTTGCGTGTTTCAATTACTTGACAGGACTAATTGAAATTTTCTCTGCAAGTTCCTGATTTTGATATAAGCGCGTGTTGTCTTCTTTGTAGTCTCGTTAAAGTCTTTCTCGTAATTGAGCGGAGTTTTTTACTACCAGATAATGAGTTAGATATATTCTTGCGTTTATTCTTAATAGAAGGACTGGCAGTGGTATTCATGGTTTTCGAATCAAGAATTAAAATTTTGGTAACACTTATTCTTTAAATGGCAAATTGTTTAATTTAAAGAGGTAAATCTTTTACTAATCGAGGTATTCGACTTATGGAGGGTTCATTTGTTAGAAGCGTGAGAGAATTCTCTTTATCTTACAGTTTTATGATAAAATTTATATTATGGAGGTATTTTTAGTACAAAAAATTCGAGGTGGAAAATTTCTTTATCTTAAAGTGGCTTTATCTTATCGAGTTTGACTATGTATGATTCAATAACTTTGCAATTAGGGTGTTATTAACATATTTCTCAGCACCATTAAATTCCTGATTGTCGACAACACTATCTTATCAAGCCGTTTTTCAAATCAGTCATATGATGAATGATATCCAGTTAAAGATTAAGCCATTTGGTGGGATTCATTTAGTGAGAGAAATATTATTTCTAATGATGTCAGTAAGTTGCTCATTCCAAATTTATGACGACAACTAATTACTCTTCTTTGCTTCGAGAACTTGTGTACGTATTTCATTCTCATCGGTGCTAGAATATTCAGAGCCTGGTTCGGTTGGGGATGAAGACGAGGAATCACTAAGAATGATATTTTTTCTGGCTATCTTGCGTCGTTGTTTAGCAATACTTAGGTTTGTTATCGCGTTTATAATATCTTGCCGAATCTCATGTCTTACTATCTCCAGTAATTGGTGGAAAGAAATACAGATTTTTTTATCCGATACTTGCTTAATGATACTCGATACTACATTATTAGTATTCTGCGATTCGTGGTTTTCCCCATTAATTTTACATCCGAAATGGTTAGCAAATTCTTCAGTTATAGTTGAGAAGTTAGCACCCGAATCAATAGTAGCTTTGGTTATTGTCGATGTCATATTATTTATTAATAATGTAATAAAGTTCAAAAATTAAAAAACTCGAATTGATAATAATGCAGAATCAGTCTTCATATTTATTCAAACTACCAGAATTACTTGAAATCATTTTTTCATATCTAGCAAAAGATAATCGTTCATAGACTGTTCCGCTCCAATTCTATGGAGTAAGATTGTATTGAATGGAGAAAAATGCCATCATTTTACTTATCTGAATTATAATCATAACGGCTAAAAAGGTTTATAAAAGCAATACGTGAAGAACCTATGCCTCTCTATGGCGCAAATCTAAAGTATCTTGAAATTGCAAAATATCACAATCTCTCAAATAGAAAAATATACAAGTATGTCCCAATATAGTTCATCTAGATCTCAATTTTAGTAAAGGGTTCAACGATGCAGCCCTTATTGGAATAGCGCATTCATATCCCAACTTAAACACCTCAATATTCGTAATAATAAGGAAATAACTGACTTCTCCATTTCTGAGATTGCACGATCATGTTGTAATATGAAGTATCTAAATATTTTCTTCTGTAAACGTATTATTGATAAATCTATTCATGAGATTGCAAAATCATGTCATAGATTAGAATTTCTGTATATTGCTGGATTAAAATATATTAATAAATCAATTGCATATTTACCCCCCAATATTCGCTGTCTTGATTTGGCATGCTGTTACAGCATTACCAACGGGGTAATTAGTAAAATAGCGCAATTATGTCCGAATTTGGAATATCTTAATCTTAGCGGATGTGAAAATATTACTGATGTACCTATTTGTGATATTGCACATTATTGCCAAAAGCTTGAACATTTCGATGTTTGTGATTGTGATATTTCTGATTTAGCTATAGAAAAAATTGCAAGTTTGTGTACCAATCTAAAATTTCTTAATATACAGTTATGTTGGTGTATTAGCGAAAACGCGGTAAAAATGTTTAATCCAAATATTAAAGTAAAAGGCATTGATCGATTTGCCTGGGTAGCTCCGCTAAATAATATCATAATTCCACATAATTCCAGTTTGACCTGTTATAGTTCACCTCAACTAAGTATAGAGCAGATAAATAATCTTATAGCAGAAGCTCTACATCAGATCAGTAATCATCTTCAAGACGGGCAAAGCTATACTCATGATTCTATTAATGGATAATTAGGCATTTACCAGCCTTCGGCTAATTATTAGTTATTTTTTCGGCTAAAGATATAAAGTTTATATAATATAACTTACCATGAAAATAACCAAAGCTAAAGTAGGAACGCAAAAAGTTAATTGTCAAGTTAAGGGACAGCTCCTGATCAAGCAAGACCATTCTGAATCTATGATAAAGAATAAAAGATTAGTAATTTAATAATTAAACAAATCAATCTTTACTATGTATTGTTGTATTTATATATTCCCAGCGACATCCTCTAGCATGAGTTCGAAGTCCTCGGCATACTGCCTGATATTTTGGCTTGTAATTCCAGTTGTATGCTCTGCTTCTTTTAATGATAAAAATTCTTGAGTAGTACCATCAGCAAAAATCTGTTTAACGGCCCGTTTATTGAAACTGTTATTGCAAAGTCCAAGACATTACAGCGTGTTGCATATTTTTTTTTTTTTGTGTACACCATTCAAGATTTGAGATTTTATTATTAGTGGAATCCCCATCGATGTGATTTACATAATTCTTATCTGGTTCTTTTGGACAAAAAGTTAGTGCCACTAATCGAGGAACATAATAATTTTTAACCCCTCTACCAATTCGAAGATATCCTGAATGTAAACTTCCTTGTGTAACTATACCATTTACTGTTTGAACTCTACCTAAGGATGACACCTTAAATTTTTCTGAATCGAATTCTATCTCTCTCCATTCTTCATTGGGATCAGGTTGTATATAGTCTTCATAGTACATCCATTGCCATTTTCCAGCAAAATTTTGCTTTCTGCTACAACACTCCTGAATTTTTTGTTCTGTGATTTTAAGTGTATTATTACCTGCAAGGCGAATAGAGTCCCAAATCTGAATAATATTCCCATCTAATGTTTTTTGTACAACTTTTTGAGATCTGCTACGTCCTGCGATTATTATTTTCTTTGAGACTTACCCATTCTAGATTATCTGCTCGATTATCATGTCTGATACCGTTGATATGGTTAACGTAGAGCGTATTTTCTGAATTGGGAATAAATGCTTGAGCAACTAATCTATGAGCATATACTACTTTATATATACCATTAATATATAATTTCATTCGTACATAACCATCTGCCTTTCTGATACCCCCTTTTGAAATTTTGTCATTTTTATTTTTAATACGTCCAAGATTAGAAATAAAATAATTCAAATTGGCTATAATAATAAGTAACCAAACCTCCATTTTGTTGTAATGACATTGATTTATTTTCAAATTCAGATTACGGCTTCATGGGATTATTACCTATATCGGAAAAAAGGACAATCAGCCGAGAAAGCAAGATTATTCTGAATCTATGACTCAAACCAAGAATGATATCGAGTATCATTGAGTAAATAATTTCCATAATGAGTTATTATTAAAAGACGTTAAATTAAGTCCAGCAAATATATTTCTTATGGGCCAGATTTCTTATCGAAATATTCGAAATCTCCCGCTTATGGATGCAATACATTAATAAAATATACTGTATCTACTTTATCTAATACAGATTGTTTTGATTTCCGCTGTCTCGATTTAGAACATGATTCTCTATTAGGAAATATGTAAATAAATACTAAGTCCATAAAAGTAATAAACGTGTAGCAGCAAAAAATTTTTTGCAGTGCTTATCGTTTACTGGCCAAAAGTGCAATGATGTCACCGAAAATGTCACATGAGTGACTGTACCTGTACATAGTACGTCACCCGTCTTTGTTTTCCCTCTTGCTGTTTACTTAAGTCCTCCGCGATAGTAGTTGCTGTTTACTTTCACGCTTAATAATGTCATCGTCACAATACAAGCTATCATTTATTGCAGGGGAGAAATACTTTACGTCAACTCCTACGAATGATTGGTCATATTCTGGATATCTCGAGGCCATAGAGCCTTATTTCAGTAACCGCGCTAAAATAAGCACATTGAAATCGACGTGGAAGAAGCGTTTTAATGACCATCTGAGAGATCTCGAAAAAGATGAAATTGATGAGAGACGTGAAGTTGCATCTGCTCTTATTAGGACGGTCAGTAATTATTTTTAATTATTTTGAAAAAAATTAGTTGCTAGCAATTCTTGCTAGTCTGTAGTTGTACCACTGGGAGCAGGTAGCGTCCCTGTTAAGTCCCGGAGTGAGGTAGCGTTCCTCGGTGCAATGCAGAGTGCTGGTTATACATTCATACCACTGGGAGCAGGTAGCGTCCCTGTTAACTCCTGGAGTTAGGTAGCGTCCTCGGTATAATGTATGACAAGCACCAACTTTAAAATTATAAACAAAATGAAGTTAGCAAATAATTTATTTTTTTTATTTGAGGATTCAAATGCCACTGAATTCTGGGACCAATTTGAAAAGAAACGAGCTCTAAAACAACAACAGGTATATAACGATTAGTGGATACGT